TTCACCACAGCATTGTAATCATTTGGAGGAAGCAACTGGAGCCCATCTTTACTAGAACCATCAGTAGGTGTGCTCCCTCACCTAGTGTTTCTAACATGGCACAGGGAGAGAAGTTTCTAGTGTTTCTAGGAAGTTAATTCTGTACAGTGGGAAGATTTCTCTACTAAGGAGAGCAGGACATAGTCACAGGTGCATGACCTTGCTCTCCTGCTTGAACTGACCAACTTCATCCTATGTAGGCCCTAGTTGCTCTGAGACAGCTGGCTCCTTTGTGGTCTATTTCTGTCTCTATGTCTCTTTCTGACATAGGCAGCATCATTTTGTTAGGATCTTTGTACAGACTGTGATCATGCAACAATATCCATGTGTTCTTCTATGTTTGCCAGCCTCCTTTGCAGTTAGGTTGGCTGTATGACTAGATCTTATAATAGAATGTGAGCAGAAATGATACATGGCCACTTTGGGGCTGAGGTAGGTAAGCATCTGCAGTGACCTCCCCACACTCTTTCTTATCTCCCTGTCTGCCAGCTCAGCGATAAAAGCTAGAAGCTACAAGGTGCCAGGACCAAGTTGAAAGTAGCCTGGGACATCAAGTTCCTTCATAGAGGGCAACCACTGGGAGGAGATTTACCCAGGAGGGCAGCCCAACTGCATCCACATGATCTGAGTGAGAAATAAACTTTCATTGTGTTAAGTCACTGGGGTTGTTTGACCCTATGGTTTAGCTGAGGCTGCTCTGGTTAATGTAAGTTCTTTATTAAACATGTGAGGCAAGTTGTATTGTAGGTAAACTTAACTGCTGTGATTTCTGTCTGTTTATCTATGTGTCTATGTTTGCATGTAGGTGGCCTAAGAGAAGTGGCCCATAAAGAATGAAAAGGGCAAAAAAAAAGTACAGTTCTAATAATGGCTAGGTGGCCAATGGGGGTCTCCTTTCCGGACGCCAAAGGCTGGACTCATCCCCTACTACCAGAGGCCGAAGGTCAAGGGTATGGTTTCTCCTAATGAGCTCAATGATCACATATTCCTCCATTTGCTGGAAAAAAAAATCTGTCTGCGCTGATGGTAGCAAAGCAGAATATTCTGTTTTATAATTTTGCAGAATGTAGGACAGTCAGGTTTTATCACTTGGCATCTTCCCAACTCAGCTAGGTGGCTGGTCAGTTGTGCAAGACAGCTATTCTTCTAAGACTGGGGATCTTCTGTTCCAGGTGTCAAGCTGTCACCAGAGTTGCTGTCCAATTCTGGTGGTACCAAGATGTCAGCTTCCAGAATCACACAATTGTCATGTTTGGGGAAAAGCAAGAGCTACCATGCTGGGCAATTTGAGGGAGCTGTGGGCACCTGGCCTCTAGAAAACTCCTCCCAAAAACTTTTTACACATTCCTTTCTGAGTTAAAAGACCTTAAATGGATGCCTGCTTTCTGAGTTGTTGCCTTCTAAGCTGACTTCTCCTTTTTTCTTGTACTTCTTATTGAAAAATGGGAAGAATCACGTTTTCCCAGATAAACTTTCAAGGCTGAGATGAAGCCAAGAAAGTTTTACCCAAGTTCATGAGTTGGGGGCTTTGCATTATTCTCTGAAAGATGCAACAAAGAGCCCCCCAATTACTTGAGAAGAAATAGCTGAATGCTATGTTTTGATCCCAGCAGCTTGTTGAAAAATGGCTTTTTTAAGACGAAAGCAAGTCTAGTTAGTGGAAAGGAAAGTAGAATAAAGAGTGATTCAGATGTGAAGGAAATAAAAGGCTTTAGAACAACTGAGAGAAAGATGTATCAGAGATAACAGTGAATAAAATATTAGGGAAATAAAAGGAGTGGAGGTGACCATTAGTAACAGTTAAAGTAGAAAAAGATAAGTCATTGAAAATTGAGGAGGAAGATGAAAAAGGATGAAAGGAAATATTACTGTCTGAACAAAGACAGCAGGAAGCCATCCACAGAATAAACATTTCCCATAACCTGCTAAAAGCTGAACACAGAATTGGATGAATACAAGTCCAGGGTAAGGGTAGATATACTATGTCTGTCAGGGAAAGAGACAGCACTTTCAGACAACTTTAAAGAAGAGTGAAGAGAATAGACATAAATTGATTCATTATGCTATGCTTACACGCTCTGCAACACAAAAGTTCCCAATGATTCATAACCAAAGCTCTTAAATATTGCAAAGATAAAGGAATATAAAGTTCAAACGTCATGAGCAGGGCACAAGATGATGCTACTAGTTTTCTTATTGTGTACAACATTGACCCATATTCATATGACACTGAACTATCCCTAACCATTTCCTGGATCTTTGGTATGCAATGATCCAGGAAATGGTAATCTAAGCATTTTAAATGTTTTGGTTCTGTTTGGTTCTTTTCATTTTTCATTCAGATTTAGCCTTGTGCCAGGAGAGTCTTCAATTCGATAGCACATACAAGTCATTGGTTTCTTAATTAACCACATTTTTCAGAGATAGAAGGGTTTTGTTTTGCCTTATAAGAAATACATGAAATAATCTGAGAATGAGAGAGACAGAGATGGAGAGAGAGAAAGAGAGGGAGAGAGGTAGAGATACTAGCTTAAAATATTGGTTGGTTAGTTATAAAAGTTCATTCAACATGTGGGGCTTTTTAATTCCACTTGCAAGTGGAATGAAGCAAAGCACTGTTCATACTTCTGGAAATCCAGATTTTCCTAAATTATTTTCAATAGGGATTCTCAAGACTATGACAAACTTCTTCCTCATTTAGCCACAATTAACCTTACCTGAAGTCTCTACAGGTAATGAATATAATATGTTCATTGCTTTGAGAAGAACTTGAAAGTCCCTAACCAGATCTGCTCTGTATTCTTTGTTAATCTAGTAATATATATGGACATATGGTTTCACTGAGAGGGACTAATCAAATTTTGCTGACCCAACAATTCATACACAATCATAAAAATTTTAAGTGTCCTCAATTCTCATATCACTGACTTTTTCTAAATGTGTTATCATTGATTATCAACCTAGTCCCATTTAGCATTTACTAGCTTACCCAGAACCAACAACCATAACCCACTTAATTACTTAGGGGATTAAAGCACACGTGCGCGCGCGCGCACACACACACACACACATACACACAACTGTGATAGTGGAATGTACAGTATTGCCTACTTTAAATTAAAAAAAGATCCCCCAAAGTATTATTGTTTCCAGCTTCTCAGCAGTGAAATAAAAGCTGTTTGGTATTGTGAAGATTACAGAAGCAATCACATTTATAGGTCTACTTTGCATACCAACTCTATTAATTTCCATACTCAGGGTGGCTTCGCATTTCCAAGCATGTTAACATAGATGCCATTTGGGATAATCACTTGGAAAAAAAATAAAAGGAAGACAGAGGAAGAGAGGAGAGGAGAGCCAGAAAAATGGTTCTCACAAATCAAGTTCTGTTTGAAATATATTGATTCGGATAAATACAAAAATGAAAAGACAAGTGAGGGTTTCTGATGGCCTGACCCAGGAGTCGCACTCAGAGATCAAATTAGCAGGAAATCACATATTGGAATTCACTTATTGTGCCAGCCCTGCACCTTGTCATTACAGACTCTAATTATTGAAATGATTTCATTGGCGTCATTTCATCAGGAGGTGCATGGGCTTCACCTTGGACAGCTCCCTTGATGCTCAACAGTGCATCTTCATTATTGCGTTCCTTTCGACTCTAAGAGTGTATCCCAGCCTCACCAAATAATCCAGTCAAGTGTGCTGTTTTCTTTCTTCATTTCTTTCCTTTAAACTTCCCAGCCACATAGTATAGGACTGAAGGAACTTAGCTAGTGTGGAAGGCAAACCTGAGACAATAAGGGCCAATGTAGAATCACCTTCCTTGATAAGACCTCAGAGAATCTGATCAGTTTTTATTCTTTTTTTTTTCTTTTTGAGACTATCTCACTCTGTCACCCAGGCTAGAGCACAGTGGTACAATCTCGGCTCACTGCATCCTCCACCTCCCAGGTTCAAGTGATTCTCCTACCTAAGCCTCCCGAGTAGCTGCGATTATAGGCATGCGCCACCATGCCCAGCCAAGTTTTGTATATTTAGTAGAGACAGGGTTTCACCAGATTGCCCAGGCTGGTCTTGAACTCCTGACCGCAAGCCATCCATCTTCCCTGGCCTCCCAAAGTGCTGGGATTGCAGGCATTAGCCATCATGCCCGGCTGCATCTGATCAGTTTAGATCAATTGTTCCCATATTCTTCATTTCCAATCAGTAAGCAAGGCACTCAATAGCCCACGATTAAATGGCTATTTGTGTACCATCAAATTTAAATTCTATTGTGCTAAAACTGTACTTGTTATGCATTTAGCAATGTACCTGAAAATTTCTTAAAGACAAAATAACATAATATTGATATTAAAAATATAAAGAGATCATAACCACAGATATGAGGGATGCATATTTTAAATAAATCAATTGGAATTTAAGAGGATTTGAGTTTAATCCATAGAATAATTAGTGGAGGTTTAGAATCTTTCTAAAGACCATCTTATTAGTCTTAAAAATAAGAGTTTTTGATTCTTATGTCTAAAAATCCCCAGAAGCCAATGTCACGCTCTTACCACTATTTTGATCTAATGCTATGTATGAGAAACTATAGGTAGAACAGCAATCGGCAAGAAGGCAATGATTTTGCTCTTGGGGGTCTGCCCAGGGGAAATGAATTTCATTTCCTTTGCACAGTGTAGAACTCTCATTGGAGGCTGACAGCACCCTTTTCTGGGAGCAGTCTGGAAATACTCACTGATGATAAAATACTAAAAAGAGATGTATATCACCTATTAAAATCTCTAAGTTGGCCAGGCCCTAATTCAAGAATTTCCACCTGGGTCAAGCAGTGATATAAGAAAAATAATCAGGAAACACTTAGTTTAAGAAATACCACATCCTGAGGCACATTCATAAACACAGGTAAATTCAAATATGAGAATAGTCTAAAAGCATCTTCGAGTGTCATTGCTTACAGTTTAGAATTGACTGGTCCTCAATGAATTCAGCTGGCTGATTGATATGGAACACTTTCTGCTGAAATCCAGGAGTGCAGTCCAAATCTTCTGCAGATGTCAGCAGCAGCACCTGAGAAAACCAAAGCCATCAATGTTTTAATAGCGGCTTATGTGTTTGCCCTGCTAACTTTCACCAAATCTACAACTTTCAGAAATAAGCTGAGGTTCTGATTTCATTTCCCAAATGAAGAGGTAAGTTGATGCTTTTCCAGTGGCTGCCAACAATTCTTTTTGGCACTGAGATTTGGAGAACACACAAATGGGAACAGCTGCTGCAGTTTCCATTAAGTTGCAGTTAAAGAAATAACTTCGTCAGATTTTTACACCTGCTACGATTCTCACCATGGTTTCCATGTGTGAAATTATATTACAGAAACTGTCAATTTTCCATGATGCCTAAGCTAAACTCAACTTCATTTTTATACAAGCAAAGAAGCACTGTCATCTATGAAGAGGAGAACAGAGAAAATGAAACTATTCTGTTGGAATTTACTTCTAAAAGGAATCCAGGGCCTGTTAAACCTTCACTGTGGCCCAATATGGCAGCCGTGAGCCACCAGTGGCTGCTGAGCACTTTAAAAGCTGTAGGTCTGACATTGACATGTTGTAAGTATAAAACGCAAATTGGATTTCAATGTCTAAACAAGGAAAAGAATGTAAAATGGTTAATAATTTTATATTAATTACATGTTGAAATGACAATATTTTACATATGGCGCTAAACATATGTTATTAGAATTAATTGTACCAGTTTTTATTCCTTTTGTACATTTGGCTACTAGGAAACTTAAAATTTACAATTGCTTTCAAAGGTGCAGTTTTGTCTTTGCAGATGCTTGAGACACTTCATCTAATGGTCGAAAAATTAGGTTATATGATTTGGAAAATAATGTATGGAATAGATGTGATTCTCTCCAGGGCATGGTGTAACTTAGTGAAATAAGAAACGGTCTTAAGGTTTAGTAGGCAAAGACTGTAAGCTCATAAAAGCAGGGATTACCTCCTCCCCACCACCAACCACCATTTCTACTGAGCATCTACCACACACACTGGGACAGAGAAGAGGCTCCATGACACTTAACAAATGAAAGGTACCATTTTTGAGCCTTATTATTTGGCCATCACTGTGCTAAACTCATCATATGCATAAGCTATGAAATATGTACCATTATAAGGTATATTTTACAGAAGATGAACCTGAAATTCTAGAAAGATTAACAAGCTTGCCCAAGATCATACAGTTAGAATCGGTGGAGTCCATATCTGAACCTAGGTTCAAGTGTCCTGAAAGGCACTTTCTTAGAGAGCCGTGCCCATTCCCCTCAGACCTGCTGTGTCAGTGTGCAAGACTTTATTTTTTTAGTTTGTTTGTTTTCGGCTGAGATATGCCTCTAAAACTTGTGGAAGGGTATTTTATCTGAGCATGGTGGCAGAAGGCATTATTTGGAAATTAACATCCTGGGAGTGGCCCTGAACCAATAACTGATGGGGAATGGTGTGCAAACACCCCAGCTCCCTCACCCCTCTGGTGAGATGACTTGGAGGTATGCATTTTTTTCTCACCGTTTCCACCTGGGACTGCGTGCCAACGTCTTTCAGAGTGTCTGGCTTGATAACTCACATTCATTACCTGCTTTCTCTTCTTTGACTTATTTCCTCATTTTCTATTGGT